GTTATTCTCTTGCTTTCAGGATTTTCTTTGTCTTTATCTTTAAGCAGTTTGGCTATATAGGTGTGGATCCCTCTGAGTTTTTCTTATGTGGAGTTTGATGAGCTTATTGGATCTCTAGATTAATATTTTTCATCAAATTTGTGAAATTTTTGCCCATTATTTTTTCCAGTATTCTTTGTGTCCATTTTTGTTTCTTCTCTTTCTGAGACTCCGATTGGTACACTTGATGATGTCCCACAGGATCTCTGAAGCTCTGTTCATTTTTCTTCAGTTTTTTTCTGTTCTGTACTAGGTAATCTCAGTTGACCTGTCTTCAAGTTCACTGATAGTTTCTTCTGTCTGCTCAAATGTACTGTTGTCTCCCTTTTCTTCTCAGTTATATTTTTTCAGCTCTATCATTTTTGTTTCTTTTAGAAGTAATTTCAATTGCTTTGTTGTTAATTTTGTTTGGTAAACATTGTTCTCACAATTTAATTCTTTTTTCTTTTTCTTTTTTTTTTTTTTTTTTTCTATTTTTGAGATGGAGTTTTGCTCTTATTGCCCAGGCTGGAGTACAGTGTCTCGATCTCAGTTCACTGTAGCCTCTACCTCCCAGGTTCAAGCAATTCTCCTGCTTCAGCCTCCTGAGTAGCTGGGATTATAGGCATGTGCCACCACGCCTGGCTAATTTTTTATTTTTAGTAGAGACAGGGTTTTGCCATGTTGGGCTGATCTCCAACTCCTGATCTCAGGTGATCCACCTCCTTTGGCCTCTCAGAGACCTGGGATTACAGGCATGAACTACAGGCATGAACCCCCTGTGCCCCGCCACTTTATTTAGACATAGTTTTTTTAGTTCTTTCAACATATTTCTAATAACTGAATGAAAATCTTTGTTGATTAAATACAAGGCATGTAACTCCTCTGTGAATGTTTCTGTTGACTTCTTCTTTTTTTTTTTTTTTTTCTTATTGCATTTTAGGTTTTGGGGTACATGTGAAGAACATGCAAGATTGTTGCATAGGTACACACATGGCAGTGTGGTTTGCTGTCTTCCGTCCCCTCACCTGTATCTGTCATTTCTCCCCATGCTATCTCTTCCCACCTCCCCACCCCCCGTCATGTTGACTTCTTTTTCCTCCCTAGGTATAGTCCACCTTTCTCTATTTCTTTGCAAGTACCATAATTTTTTTTGGAAAACTGAACATTTAAGAAACAGTGTGTGGCAACTGTGCAAATTAGATTCTTCTCCTCCCTGTAGTTTGTTGTTGTTGCTATTTGTATTTTGTTGTTGCTGCTGTTTTCTTTTTTTTGAGACAGTCTCTTGCTCTGTCGCCATGCTGGAGTACGATGGCACAATCTCTGCTCTGCAACCTCCGCCTCCCGGGTTCAAGCGATTCCCCTGCCTCAGCCTCCTGAGTAGCTGGGACTACAGGCACGTGCCACCACACCTGGCCAATTTTTTTTATTTTTAGTAGAGATGGGTTTCACCATGTTGGCGAGGCTGGTCGCGAACTCCTGACCTCAGGTGATCCACTTGCCTTGGCCTCTCAAAGTGCTGGGATTACAGGTGAGCCACCAGGGCCAGCCAATACAGTCTTATACAAACTAATGCAGAGTGTGGAACGAAGGAATAGTTTCCAGTCACTACTCTGAGACTGTCATAATCTTGATACTTAAACCTGATAAGGTCAGTATGAAATGGAAAATTACAAGCTAGTTATACTTATTAGCACAGACACAATCCTAAAACTGAACCTCAAAGTATAAAGAAGGATTATTTATCTTGAATTGGATTACTCTCTAATATAGGATGACTAAATGTAGTAGAGTATATCAGTTAAGAGCATGGACTTTGTAGCTTGATTGCCTTGGTTTGAATCCTAGTTTTACCATTCATTAGCTTGAGGTGTATTTCTTCTATTCCTTGTCTGTTAATTGGGGTAATAATGGTACTAACTCACAGGGTTTTTTCTGATGATTGAATGATCAAAATATGTAAAGTGTTTAGGATGATGTCTGAATACTAGGAGCTAATTGGTGTTAGATATAATCAATTACTGTAAATCAATAAAATCAATTACTGTAATCTACCATGTTAACAGAATAAAGAAGAAAGCTATATGATACCCCAATAGACAAAAATTAAAATAGTTTATTCACTAGTGTTTAAAAATGTAGTAGGTTAGAAGGGAGTCTATAAACATGAAAAACTTACATCATGTATTTATTTAATGGTGATAGATTTAAAACATTCCTTTTGAGATTCTATCACTGCTTCTTTTCACAGGACTTAATTTAATCAAGGCCAAAAATGTAAGAGAAAGAAAGGAAGGAAGATAGGTACAAGAATTAGAAAGGAAGAGAGAAAACTGATGTTATTTGCAAAAGAATATACGATGAATCCAGGAGGTGGAGGTTGCGGTGAGCTGAGATTGCGCCATTGCACTCCAGCCTGGGTAACAAGAGCGGAACTCCGTCTCAAAAAAAAAAAAAAAAAAAAAAAAAAAAAAAAAATTACAGTGAATATGAAAGTTTTCATAGAATTACTGATTATAAAATCAATATATAAAAAGTAGTTGCAGGAAATGGTAGTTTCTTAAAAAGAATATATGATACTGCAGTTCCAGTCCTAGGCATGTAATCAAAAGAAATAAAAATACGTATACTTGCAAAGACTTGGAGGTGAATGTTTATAGCTACATTATTGATAATAGTCAAAAAGTGGAAACATTTCAAGTGTCCATCAGTGAGTGAATGGATAAACAATACGTGTTGTATTCATTCAGTAAAGTACTATTCAGCAATAAAAAGTAATGAACTACTGATATAATGTGGATGAACCTTATAATGGTTATGCTAAATGAATCTATACATAGTATATTGGTTCCATTTATATAAAATGTCCAAATCTGTAAAGACAGAAAGCAGGCTACCTACTTAATAATTGCCTGGGGCTGGGGGGTTTGAGTTGGGATTGATTGCATATGGGTCTGAAGGATATGTTTGGGTTGTAAAAATGTTCTAAAACTGGATCATGGTGATGGTTGCACAACTCTATAAATTTAGTAAAAATCATGTAATTGTATACAGTTGACCCTTGATAACACGGGTTTAAACTGTATGGGTCCATCTACATGTGGATTTTTTTCAATCAACTGCAATAGAAAGTACAGTATTTGTGGGATGTGAAACTCATGTATGTGGAGGGCCTACTTTTCCTATATGGGAGTTCCATAGGACTCACTTTGGGACTTGATTATACTCTGATTTTGATATAGGCAGAGAGTCATGGAAACAATCCCTCAGATATACCAAGGGATGACCGTACTTAATACCCCTATCATTTCCTTTCTCCCATCCTGATTTGACTATATAAATTCTTAAACACCTTTTTTGGTGGGAGCCAGGGAGGAGTTGATAGATAAAGGCTAAGAATTTGGATCTGTGAGTATGTGGGTGATACAGATAGGAGGGATCATGAGTGAAATAGATACTAAGAGAACCTGTCCATCTTATATAAACAGTGTATTTTGAGAGAATGAGTTTACTCACATAGACCCTCTCAAACTTATGTATTCATTTACACGCAAAGAGCACCCCTGCTCTGAAAAAGTATAAGAACAGTTAGGAAATATTTGATGTGGTTTACCTCACCTTCCCTTTTACCCATTAATAATGCAACGTGACAGTATGTACAAACATACTTGTTTATCCTAATAAAAGATTGTAAGTAAGTAAGAAAGCGTAAGTACACAATGAAACTAATTTTTTAAAGCAGTCATGTTTTTGGAAAAGAGAAAGCTTTTTTAAAATTATAAAATCAGGCTGGGCATGGTGGCTCATACTTGTAATCCCAGCACTTTGGGACGCCAAGGTGGGCGAATGACTTGAGGCCAGGAGTTCGAGACCAGCCTGGCCAGTGTGGTGAAACTCTGTCTCTCCTAAAAATACAAAAATTAGCCGGGCATGTTAGTGGGCATCTGTAGTCCCAGGCTGCTCGGAAGGCTGAGACAGGAGAATTGCTTGAACCCTGGAAGTGGAGGTTCCAGTGAGTGAAGATCGCACCATTGTACTCCATACTGGGTGACAAGAGTGAAACTCCGTCTCAAAAGCAAACAAAAAGTTATGAAATCAGTGTTTCAATTCACCATTTATAATTTAGATTTCTAAAATGTTTTATTGTCTTCAAAGTCCGTGTATTCCTGTACTTAAACGTGTGTTATGTTGGCTGCATGCAGTGACTCACGCCTGTAATCCCAGCACTTTGGGAGGTGCAGGCAGGAAGATCACTTGAGCTTAGGAGTTCAAGACCAGCCTGGGCTATGTAGAAAGACCTTGTCTCTACTAAAAATAAAAAAGTGAACTAGGCGTGGTGATGTGTACCTATAGCCCCAGCTACTTGAAAGGCTAAGGTGGAAGGACTGCATGATTCCAGGAGATGAAGGCTGAGTGAGCTGTGATGGCACCACTGCACTCTAGCCTGGGTGACGAAGTAGGACCCTGTCTCAAAAAAACACAAAACATAAAAACAGTACTTTATTGCTTGTGATTTATATAACAACAATATGTTTAAAATTTTTTCTTATGTTTCCTTGTGAGTTTTTCAAAAATTTTAATTTTGAGACTTTTTCCTGCAATTACATTGCAGGAAATGGTTTGAAAACGAATCATTAGTTATTGTGTTACTTGAGTGACTTTGTGTTATTTCTGTATGTTGAGGAAACTGCCTAAGTCATATGTATACTATTAGTTACCACAAACCTTTTTGACTCCTGTGTAACTATTTCGTAGGTCAAAAAATACAAGTGGTAAATTTGAAAGTTGCAGGAATTGTCAAAGCAAAGGCAGAAAGGAGAGCTGAGAAAGGGGTTACTTAAAGATTCCTCTTTGGCCTATAGAGAAAGATCCTTCTGTATTTTTAAAATGTATTTATATGCCATGCTATTTCAAGAAACAGTTGCATTTTCTTCTTGCTTTTTCATAGATGGATTTAAATATTTGTTGTGTATTTGATGTAGGAATACGATTGGACAGAATGAACTGAAAATTACAAGTGATCACGTGATAAATTCAGGACTGATTTTTGAAGATAAACTGAAACCTTCCAAACAGTCACTACAGTCTTACCAAGAGGCTTTGCAGCAGCAGGTATTGAGTCATTTACTCATTTACTGTTGAACATCTTAAGTGTTAACACAGTGGTTCCTTAGAGCTCAGAGTGTGGCTGGGAAGGGGGAAAAACCCAGTTAATTATAATTCAAAATGTTAAGCTTTGAAGTGGATACAGTAAAATGCTGTTGGAAGCGTAGGGTAGGGAAAATAATTGCCTGGGGCAGTTGGGAGAACCTTCACACATTATTTGATATTTGAGCTGCATGTTGTGTAGTGAATACATTAGAAGTTGCTGGTGTATACAGAGAATGGAAGTGGTGTGGAAGAAGGGGCTGGAGAATTAGATTGTTCTGTTAGATTGTGAAGGACTAGCTAATAAGGGGTTTTCAGTTTCATCTGGTTACGGACAGCCAAAGGAAGGAAATTTTAAGCCAAGAAAAGAATGAAAGGATTGGTTTTGCTTTGAGCAGATATATTTTTTAGGAAGATAATTGGTTGATTTGTACAATTGGGAAGAAATGTGGCAGAGAAATTTTTTAGTAGGTAGTCCAGTTAGGAGGTGATGAGGCCCTGAGCCAGATGGGGATGCTGGTTCATCTATGAGACGGTTCTCAGGTTTCATTGACAGGACTTGGGTATAGGGAATGAGAAATAACAGAGGGTTTTGAAGATGTTTCCTAGGAGAATGAGGCTATAAACCAAAATAGGGAATACAGGAAGTAGTTCATGTATACAGAGGAGGATAATGGGTTCTTCTGTAGTTTGTAATATTTAAAGAGAATTTAATAGTAACTATCAAATGTGTGGGATTCTTTGTAGGAATTCCCTTACCTTCTGAGAGGGGCCTAGGACTCTAACTTAGGTACTTTTCTATAGAATTGTACTTGGATGGCCGGATGTGGTGGCTCAAGCCTATAATCCCAGCACTATGGGAGGCCGAGGTGGGTGGATCACGAGGTCAAGAGATCGAGACCATCCTGGTCAACATGGTGAAACCCCGTCTCTACTAAAAATACAAAAAATTAGCTGGGCATGGTGGCGCGTGCCTGTAATCCCAGCTACTCAGGAAGCTGAGGCAGGAGAATTGCCTGAACCCAGGAGGCAGAGGTTGCGGTGAGCCGATTTCGCGCCATTGCACTCCAGCCTGGGTAACGGGAGCGAAACTCCGTCTCAAAAAAAAAAAAAAAAAAGTGCTTTTGTTCAACTTTTATGTGGGTGACTTTCTTGAAGGAAAGATTTTTAAGATTACAGAATTATATTTTTTTGTATGTTAGGATTCTACAAATAAGACTGAATTTTAAATTCAGAGTCTGTTTTTGTATTGAGCATATTAAAAACACTACTGACAAAACTAGATTTTTCAACTCTAGGGGTCTATTTGGTGTGTGTGATGACTTCTTTGGCTGTGCTGGAGCAAAAGGTTGCATAAATTTATCATGCATATGATTGAGTTCAAAAGTGACTTTCCAAAATGTAAACATTTGTTTGTTGCCTATTTGTGTGTCTCTACAGAACAACCCTGTGCTTATACTTAGTGAGGATAAGAATGCATTTGTTTTTAGTGCTTTATACAGCTTTATAGGCATGCCTTAGAAATATTGCTGGTTTGGTTCCAGATCATTACAATAAAGCAAATATCGCAATGAAATGATTCACATGAAGTTTTTGGTTTCCCAGTGCATGTAGAAGTTATCTTTACCCTATACTAAGATCTATTAATGTGAAATATATTTTTAAGAAAGCAAGATACGTAATTTGAAAATACTTTACTGCTAAAAAAATTTAGCAAGTCATAATCTTTTTGCTGATGGAGAGTCTTGCCTCAATGTTGATAGCTACTGACTGATCAGGGTGGCAGTTGCTGAAGATTGGGTGGCTATGGCAATTTCTTAAAATAAAGCAACAGTTAAGTTTGCTGTATCACTTAACTCCTCCGTTCATGAAAGATTTCCCTATAGGATTTGATGCTGTTTTATACGATTTTATCCACAGAAAAACTTCTTTCAAAGTTTGGAGTCAGTCCTCTCAAAACCCTGCTAATGCTTAGTTTATGTAATGTTTCTAAATCCTTTGTTGTCATCCCAACAATGTTCACAGCATCTTCACGAAGAGTAGACTCCATCTCAGGAAACCACTTTCTTTGCTCATTCGTAAGAAGCAACTCCTTATCGATTGTCAATGAGTAGTAATATTTTGAAAGGAATCTCTTTTTGGTTTAGTAGCAAGTCTTAATAGTGGTCTTAAAATAGTAAACCATTTTCGAAACAGTTGTGTGGCAAAACAGGCTTTGTTGTTTTCTTTCTAGAGCATAGGCAGAGTAGATTTAGCACCATTCTTAAGGGTCCTAAGATTTTCAGAATGTTACATCAGCATTGGCTTCAACTTAAAGTAATTAGCTGCATTAGATCCTAATGAGAGAGTGTCAGCCTGTCCTTTGAAGCTTGAAGCCAGACATTGACTTCTCTTTCCTGGCTATGAAAGTCTTTTAATACAAGGCTGTTTTGTCTCTATTGAATGTCTGAGCTGGATCTTATGGGTAACTTGCTGTAGCTTCTCCATCAGCACTTCCTACCTCATGTTGCATTTTTTTTTTTTTTTTTTTTTGGAGACAAAGTCTTGCTGTCACCCAGCCTAGGCTGGAATGCAATGGTGTGATCTCAGCTCACTGCAACTTCTGCCTTCCTGATTCAAACGATTCTCTTGCCTCAGCCTCTGGAGTAGCTGGGAGTATAGGCGCCCATCACAATACCCAGCGAATTTTTTTTGTTTGTTTGTATTTTTAGTATAGGCAGGGTTTCGCCATGTTGGTCAGGCTGTCTCAGACTCCTGAACTCAGGTGATCTGCCCACCTCAGCCTCCCAAAGCATTGAGATTACAGGCGCTAGTCACTGTGCCCGGCCCATGTTGTACTTTTATGCTGTAGAGATGGCAGCTTTCCCTCAACTTCATGAACCAACCTCTGCTAACTTCCGGGTTCACTTCTGCAGCTTCCTCACTTCTGTCAGCCTTCATAGAATTGAAGAAAGTTAGGGCCTTGCTTTGGGTTAGGCTTTGGCTTAAGGGAATGCTGGGCTGGTTTGATCTATCTGACCACTAAAACTTTCTCTATAACGGCAATAAAGCTATTTTACTCTCTTACCATTTGTGTGTTTACTGGGATAGCATTTTTAATTTCCTTCAAGAATTTTTCATGTACATTTACAACTTGACAAAGTATTTATTTAGCAAAAGAAGCCTAACCTTCAGCCTGTTTATGCATTCAACAAGCTTAATCATTTCTAGCTTTTAATTTAAAATTAGAGATGTGACTCTTTCATTCCCTTGAACACTTGCATGCCATTGTTGGGTTATTAATTGGCCTAATTTCAATATTCTGTCAGGAAAAAGGGAGATCCAAGGAGAGGGAAAGAGACAGAAATGGCTGATTGGTAGAATAGTCAGGATACATATGACATTTATTCATTAAGTTTGCCATTTTATGTGTGTGTGATTCATGGTGCCCCAAAACAATTATAATAGCAACACTAGAGATCACCAATCGCAGATCACTATAACAGATATTAAAAGGTGGCCAGGCATGGTGGCTTATCTCTGTAATCTTAGCACTTTGGGAGGCCGAGGTGGGCAGGTCACAGGTCAGGAGATTGAGACCAGCGTGGCTAACACTGTGAAACCCTATCTCTACTTAAAATACAAAAAGTTAGCCAGGCATGGTGGCACGTGCCTGTAATCTCAGCTACTTGGGAGGCTGTGGCAGGAGAATCACTTGAACCTGGGAAATGGAGGTTGCAGTGAGCCGAGATTGTGCCACTGCACTCTAACCTGGGTGACAGAGTGAAACTCCATCTGAAAAAACAAAAAAAAAGTTTGAAATATTGTGAGAATTACTAAAATGTGACAGAGACATGAAGTTAGTCCATGCTGTTGGAAAAATGGTACCAATAGACTTCCTCAATGCAGGGTTGCCACAAACCTTCAATTGTAAGCAGTGCAGTGTCTGCAAAGCACAATAAAGTGCAGCACAATAAAATGAGGTATGCTCCTGTTTAAAGTTGTGTAGCATTCCCCAGAGAGCATTGATCCCCCAACCTCTGAATTCTGGGAATAGAGTTTACCTAGGGAAAGTAGGCCTGGTAAGGTTGAGGGTACACTTTGTGGCTGGGCATTCTCCTTGAAAGGATAGATGAAAAAGGAACTTAGGGAGATCTGATGTTCCTATGAAACTGTCAGGGTTAGAGAGAGAATGGCTCAGGTAGACACTGGGGGAGGGTAAGATAAGTTGGTTGAGTCTGAAGTAGCCTTAGTGGCTAGAAAGTCATTTGGTGGTATATAGAGGAACAGTGGCTATGTATTCCAGCCATTGAAGTATTTTTATTTTTAATATTATTTAGAGACAGCGTTTTGCTTATTGTTGCCCAAGCTGGAGTGCCGTGGCACAATCTTGGCTCACTGCAACCTCTGCCTCCTGGGTTTAGGTGATTCTTCTGCCTCAGCCACTGAAGTAGCTGGGATTACAGGTGTGTGCCACCATAACCAGCTAATTTTTGTATTTTTAGTAGAGACAGGGTTTTGCCATGTTGGCCAGGCTGGTCTCGAACTCTTTGCCTTAAGTGATCTGCCCACCTCGGCCTCTACAGGCATGAGCCACCCCACCCCGCCTGGTCTAAAGTATTTTTACATTGAGTATTACATATATTTGTGGTTTTAACCTTTGTAGGGTAGCATACTGGGGGAAAAAAAAAAAACCTCTGTGTGTGTGTGTGTGTGTGTGTGTGTGTGTGTGTGTGTGTTAGAAAAAAAACCCAGTTTTGTTTTGTTTTTTAAATAACATCTGGTATTACTAACCTCTTGTGTCAAAATACTTGTTAGCATTTATTTTAAACATATTTTATGTTGTCAAGATTCGGGAAAGAGAAGAAAGAAGGAAGAAAGAACGTGAAGAAAAAGAAGAATACGAAGCTAAATTAGAAGCTGAAATGAGAACATATAATCCTTGGGGAAAAGGCGGAGGTGGCGCCCCTCTCAGGGATGCAAAAGGAAATCTGATAAGTATGTTATTTCCATTGACATATTTTTAAAATAAGGTAAATTATTTTTAACTTTTGAAAATACTGGGGAGTAGAAAAAGGTAGAAATCATAGCCTCTATAGCAAGGCCTCTTTATGTAACTTAATGCATAAGAGGTATTTTGAGAATAAATATAATAACAGGCTAGAAAGCATTTCTTCTTCAGAATACTGTTCATTAGTTTTTGTTACAAATATTTCATCCTCTGATGTTGATAACCCAGCTGCAGAGAAAAGCTCATGTTAGTTGATAAGTTTTTACCCGAACTAGTACTTAGAATATTTTGTTTCCTTGTTAAAATGATAAAACCCATATTACAAGTTAAAAAAACATAGTAAGATGTCTTATAAATAAAGGCTCTAAAACAGTTTTAGGAGGGGATTTTGTGTTTAATTTATATGTGCAGTATACCTGCTCATTGCAAGGATTCTTTTGTGGAGGGACGGGGGAAGAGACCATCATAGAAACTTTATAGCAGCTTTCATAATTTGTTTATTTATCTTTCATAATTTGTTTATCTTTCACTTTACTCTTAAATGTTTGATCTAGTAACCACACAACAAATACCTTGAGTGGCTTTATATAACTTGTTATATACAATTGTCTGTTGTTAACCATGGGACATTAATTCCAGGATCTCCTGTGAATACCCAAATCCATGGATGCTCAAGTTCCTGATAAAACATCGGTATAGTGTTTGCATATTAACGTACACACATCCTCCTGTGTACTTTAAATCATCTCTAGATTACTTGTAATGCCTAATAAAGTGAAAATGCTGTTTAAATAGTTGTGATCTTGTATTGCTTAGGGAATAATGACAAGAGAAAAAGACTTTTTACATGTTCAGCAGAGATGAAAGCATCAATTTTTTTTTGTTTTTTAATGTTTTCGCTATGTGGTTGGTTGAATCCACAGATGTAGAACCCATGGTTACAAAGGACTGTTGTATGTATTAGGATGGTCTCTGCTTAGCTTTTAGTTAAGCAGAATAAAAGTAGAGCAAAGGTACACATTTCATGTTCTTTAGGTATTATGTATTATAGGAATAGATGACAGAATTGGAAGATTGGTTGGTGAGTTAGAATTCTTATGTATTATGCCTTTGGTTCATTGTTTTGTGTGTGTGTGTGTGTGTGTGTGATATATTTGAGGCCCACTTTATTTTTTTGAGATGGAGTTTCACTCTATCACCCAGACTGGAGTGCAGTGGCACCATCTTGGCTTACTGCAACCTCTGCCTTCCGGGTTGAATAAATTCTCCTACCTAAGCCTCCCAGGTCTCTGGGATTTACAAGCATCCATCATCACACCTGGCTAATTTTTGTATTTTTAGTAGAGATGGGGTTTCACCATGTTGGTCAGGCTGGTCTCAAACTCCTGACCTGATCACCTTGGCCTCCCAAAGTGCTGGGATTACAGGCATGAGTCACCATGCCTGGCCTACTTTAATTTTAATAACTCTTTTCTTCCCAAAAGATTTGTTCCTTTTCTATCTTCACTTCATTAATAATTTTCTCAGTTTTGAAAGAGTGGAACTCTTATTACATTATCAATGAAATGATTTTAGATGATGCCTAGCTAAGCATTTCTTATTTTAATAGGCAAATGTTTACTTGAAAATATATAAGAAAAACACTAGTTTTCCATTTATAGTGCTATAACATTTTCTTTTAAAGAAATTAAAGGTGTTAGCCCAGGCATTTAATGGAAAGTGCTGTAATAAGCAAACCCAAATTCTCAGAAGTTTAAGGCCTCTCTTGTAGGCATCCACTTTTGTCCCACTCTGATGCTGTTTGGGTGGTTCTCCTGCAAGAAGTGACTCGGGGATCCATTGTGTCATTGCTTCGTTTTAGAGTCCTTTTCTTGTCCTGGGACAAATTGAGGCTTTTGTTGGGGCCTGACCTGGATGTGGAGGAAGATCACTTTTGCCTTCATTCCATTGTTCAGACCTAGTTATAGGGTCTAACCTAAGTGCTTGGGAGGCTGGGAAGCTTAACTTTCTTTACACTCAGGAGAAGAACATGGGATTAATAGCCCTATGGCCAATCTTTGCTACAGTGAATTTAAATTGTAAATTGATAGAAATACGCTAGTTAGCATGAAAATTGTGTTTCACTGACTGAAACATTGGAAAACATTGGGATAGAACATTTTTCTGAAATCTTACCGCTTAACATTATTTCTAGTAAAAACAATACAATTACGGTGTTCTGTATGCCTTTAATTGGTAGAAGTGAGGAGGATAAATGTGGGTTATTAAATTATTAAACATTGTTTTAGAATTGCTTGACCTAATGAGTATGGAGAAAATGTTTCTGAGATTTCAATTTTTAATAGTAATGTGGGCTTATTTAATGCTATCTTCATGCTATGAAATAGAAAAGACATACTATTTTATTAAATACAGTAGAACTCTTTTAATGGTATTTTCAAAGCAAGTATACTCATCACTTAAAGAATATCAGTTTATGGCTGCGTGCTGTGGCTCATGCCTGTCATCCCAGCACTTAGGGAGGCTGAGGCAGGCGGATCACGAGGTCAAGAGATCAAGACCGTCCTGGCCAACGTGGTGAAACTCCGTCTCTACTAAAAATACAGAAATCAGCTGGATGTGGTGGCGTATGCCTGTAGTCCCAGCTACTTGGAGGCTGAGGCAGGAGAATCACTTGAACCTGGGAGGCGGAGGTTGCAGTAAGCTGATATCGCACCATTGCACTTCAGCCTGGTGACAGAGGAAGACTCTATCTCAGAAAAAAAAAGAAAAAAAAAAAAGGTATCAGTATGTGGCTGCTACATTTTTTGGCGTGTGGGGAATGGATTTTGTTCTGTTGCCCAGGCTGGAATGCAATGGCTCAATCTCAGGTCATTGCAATCTCCACTTCTTGGGTTCAAGCAGTTTTCCTGCCTCAGCCTCCAGAATAGCTGGGGTTATAGGCATGCACCACCATACCTGCCTAATTTTGTGTATTTAGGAGAGACAGAGTTTCACCATGGCGGTCAGTCTGGTCTTGAACTCCTGACCCGAGTTGATCCACCTGCCTTGGCCTCCCAAAGTGCTGGAATTACATGTGTGACTACTACACCCAATGTAGCTGCTACATTTTAGAGAAGGTGGGAACTTTACATTTGCAATACATAGTATAGAGCAGTGTGATGACTAAGACCATATAACATCTGTTCATTATCTTCGCTAACTTTAATTCTGCTACTCACTTTTCTAATTACTCTTGTTTTTTTTGATCATTTATTCAAAAATTAATAAAATTGCATCTTTACTCTGCACCCTTAGCTCTCTAAGATCTCTCTCTCTCTCTCTTTTTTTTTTTTTTTTTTTTTTTGACAGTCACTCTGTCGGAAGGCTGGAGTGCAGTGGTGTGATTTTGGCTCACTACAACCTCTGCCTCCCGGGTTCAAGTGATTCTCCTGCCTTAGCCTTCCAAGTAGCTGGTACTACAGGCACACACCACCATGCCTAGCTAATTTGTGTATTTTTAGTAGAGATGGGGTGGGGGTTCACTATGTTGGCCAGTACGGTCTCAGTCTTCTGACCTCATGATCCACCTCCCTCAGCCTTCCAAAGTGCGTGATTCCAGGTGTGAGCCAGCATGCCCTGCCAAGATGATCTCTTTATAAAGCATAGTAGCTATTAATAAAATACAAAAATATGTTTGTTTTGTTTTTTGTTTTTTGAGATGAAGTCTAGCTCTGTCACCAGGCTGGAATGCAGTGGCACGATCTTGGCTCACTACAACCTCCTACTCCCTGGTTCAAGCAATTCTTCTGCCTCAGCCTGCCAAGTAGCTGGGATTACAGGCACATACCACCATGCCCAGCTAATTTTTGTAAAAAATAAGTTGTTTATGCAAAAGATAGTATCACCTCTTTAACTATTTCTCATTTTAAATATTTGTACAGTACTTTTTTGTGTTAGTTCTTCATTGAAGTTCTTTATTCAAGTTATTTGAAACTTTATATGAAACTATAGATGTCAAATGTTAAAACATACACACCAAAAGAAAAATGTCAATAAAAATAAAATTAAAAGATAAAAACAAACTTGAAAGATGGTATCTCATAGTTCCAATTGATTAACAGGATAATTAGTTATCTATATATATTTGATCAGGTATTTTTCAAGTTCAGAGTGTGTGTGTGTGTGTTTAATTGTACTTTAAGTTCTGGGGTACATGTGCAAAACATGCAGGTTTGTTGCATAGGTATACACGTGCCATTGTGGTTGGTTGCATCCATCACCCTGTCATCTCCATTAGATATTTCTCTTAAAGCTATTTCTCCCATATCTCCCCTACCCCCAACATTCCCCAGTGTGTGATGTTCCCCTCCCTGTGTCCATGTGTTCTCATTGTTCAGCTCCCACTTAGTGACAACATGCCATGTTTGATTTTCTGTTCTTGTGTTACTTTGCTGAGAATGATGGTTTCCAGCTTCATCCATGTCCCTGCAAAGGGCATGAATCCATCCTTTTTTTAATGGCTGCACAGTATTCCATGGTGTATATGTGCCACATTTTCTTTATCCAGTCTATCATTGATGGGTGTGTGGGTTGGTTCCAAGTCTTTGCCATTCTGAACAGTGCCACAATAAACATACATATGCATGTGCCTTTATAATATAATGCTTTATAATTCTTTGGGTGTATACCCAGTAATGGGATTGCTGGGTCAGGTGGTATTTCTATTTCTAGATCCTTGAGGAATTGCCACATTGTCTTCTACAATGGTTGAACTAATTTACACTCCCATAAACAGTGTAAAAGCGTTTTCTATTTCTCCACATCCTCTCCAGCTTCTGTTGTCTCCTGATTTTTTAAAAGCCATTCTAACTGGCGTGAGGTGGTATCTCAGTGTGGTTTTGATTTGCATTTCTCTAATGACCAGTGATGATGAACTTTTTTTCATGTTTGTTGACTGCATAAATGTCTTCTTTTGAAAAGTGTCTCTTTATATCCTTCATCCACT